AAAAAAATCGAACCATAAACTTTACACAAAAAAAAAGTTTTTTTCCAATTTTCAAAGTAAAGACTGAAGTTCCTCAGAGTTTGCTGACTGTGACAGATGGCAAGCAGCAGAAGAAAACGACAAATGGCTTCTAAGTACGACATCAAAAGATAAAATCTTTACAAAAAAAAGTAGACAGAACGTCCTCAGGAGATGAAGTGTCTTTCCGGAGAAAAAACAAAAGTTTCAAGCAAGCACACCAAGTGACAAGCATGTGTTTTCGTGCAAAAGTTCGGAAATCGGGGGGTCATTTGTGATTTGATATGTGAGATTGCACAGCGTGCGAGGCATGCATTTTACGACTAATTACTTTTGCAAAGTGATTATTTACACCTGATACCTGCTTATACACGAAGAAAAGAGAAAGAAAGGAAAATCGTAAAGTTTGCAAGCGTAAATTCTAAAAGCAGCAAAAAAACGCAAAAAAGTAAGCAAAAAGAAGTAAAGTCGTGAAATACCGCGTATGTTGTGCATTACACGCCTATTCCGAGACCAAGAAACTCTAGAACACATCGCAGACGTGATTAACAAGTTTGTACTTGTCGGCTACTTCATCTTACTAGATCTATCACACTAGATTAGAGAAAAAACATGTTCGAGCTTGTTGGACACATTTTGCGAGAGCGTTGCTGAGATTTTCAGCCGCGGAACAGATATCCTAAGTATCAGACGACGCAATTTTACACTAAACTTTGAATTCAAAACTAAACAAATGAAAAACGTGCGCAGATTTGATGACCTTGCTCTCATAAAAACAGGCCGAGGAGCTCGACGGCCACTCGGCGCGCCAATTCAATAAAAATCGTTTACGATTGCGTTGCTCGCTGAATCGAATTTCCCGCCGAGCGGGCAGGGGCTTTGAAGAGAAGCAGTGAGAACAATACTTTCAACAAATCATAGAATCATTCATGCGAATATGCAAACATAATAGGAGAGGGGAGGAAGAACAATGGCGCCACGTTGTTCGGAGCGACATAATCCTTCCGAAAAACATCATTATCAAAGCGATTAAGAGAAGATTTCTGAGCAGAAAGGCATCGAATTGATGCGTGCCGCAGTGGGAAAAGCAAACAAATGCAAAGGATGTGTGCAAATAAAAATCAGACGTGTAGGAAGTGCGAGATGTGAGATCACGACCAGACATTTGCCCCGAGTGCAGCGAGCGAGCACTTCAAAAGCGCGCCGGCGGTGGGGAGATTGGAAAATGCGGTTGGCAATTGACGTATGTGACATATGCAGAGGAAAGGGAAAATTGCTAATGAGACGCCCGGGGGGGGGGGGGGGAGGAGGAGAAAGAGTAATTAAAAGTGAATCAAAGGGAGTTTTTTAGCGACGAAAAAAACATATGACGCAGAACGGGCCATTTTTATGCAAAAGCTAAGAAATTAGCACGAAATAGCATTAGGGCGCCAAAGCTCGCATTGGGGCGCGATATCTAACCAATGCTTTCCGAAATAGGCGGAATTACATGGAAACCTGGAAAGAATTGCTGCTATCAAGCCGATGGAACCTAGTGAAGGTTACATCGAGTCAGCTTCCGCATAGATTTGTTGATTATGTGACATTTGCAGAAGAAAGGTATAATTGCTAATGAGATGCGGGAGGGGGGAGGGGGTAGGGGGAAGAGAAGAGAGAATAATTAAATGATTTAAGGGAAGAACTTTTTCAGTGGTGCAAAAAGCACTAGCGCAGAAGAACGTCATTATCATGCAAAGATGAAAGATTTGCATGTTGGCAAAGGGGCATTGAATTTCGTACTAGAGCGCGTAATCTTACTAATGCCTTGCAAACAAGCGGGCAAAATATTAACACAACTTGCAAATATACTCGAGAATCCCCGAATAGATAAGAATCAACATATGACGCATAAAGATGACGTTTTCTAGTAAAAGTAGAAAAAGTTGCATTAGGACGTTAAATCTCGTACTGGAGCGCTGAATTTTACTGTTTGATTTAGGCAAGTAAGCAAAGTGTCAACATAACTTGTGATTCTTTTTGAAACACGAATTAATAAGGTTCAGTAGAGATGAACACGATTTCATATCGACTTTGCGGCCGCATAAATTTTCGCAGTCTACTGAAAAACGAGAAGAACTTTCATGAATGTTTAGTGAGTAAAAAAACATTCAGCACGAACATATGACATACGTCTCATTGCAGACTATACATATGGTCGATTATGGAATTTTTCCACTTCTAATTATTCATGAAAACTTTTTTATATTGATTGCGAAAATCATGAGACCGCAAATTTCCACGTAAAAAATTGTATCCTTTACCTTTCGTGATACTTCCCAGTTAGGCACTGACGCAGAAATCAGAATTTGATGATACTTCTTCAAGTAGTTCTGAGCAAAGGAAATTGAAAGAATGATTTTTCTGCATTGGCATCAATTTCGCGCTCCATTAACTTTTGTCTTGAGAATTTGAAACTTGCTCATTCGTCTGTTATTCATTCTTTATTGCGTAGGGGTGCCCCTAAAGGCAAGAAAGAAACAAAAAATAGCAAACAGTATGTTAAAAGCACGAACGATCATGTGTAAATTGTTTTAATTTTGAATTAGATTGCGGTGCGGGGAACGAACGCTTAGAAAATAGATAATGGAGCAAAAAAATGGTTGTTTACTTGCTAATCGCAAATTATAAAAAATTTGTCTTTATCAGTTTGAGTAAAAGCAAAAGATAAAAATTTGTCTCATGGAAGATGTGTTCTTGATAACAGAATAACGAGAAATGTCACTAGTTGGCTAATCAAATATTTCTTGAGCGCAGATTTTCGGACTTGTAAAATCTCTCCGGCAAAAAAAAAATCAAAGAATTTCGAATTTCTGTACACCTTAAAAGATCTAGACATCGAAGATAATGATGAAAAAAATACCGAAAGAAATGAAAATGGGGGAAAAAATAGGAAACGCACGTTACATTGACGGAAATATGTTTACTGTTGAAATAAAGAGTAAATTCTCTTTGCAAAGCTTTTTTACCTTGCAAATGCAAACCTGAAGAAAAAGGAAGTGAGAAAGTTGACAAAACCGGCTATTCTAGCGCATAAGTGCCAACTAGCCGCCACGAGAGCCACCAAAACCCGTGAAAGCAGCGATTAGCGTGAAAAGCAATTAAAAACGAGTAGACGACGAAGGTAAAGTGGGGCTTTGGCGACTGGCCAAGTATCGATCGTTGCCGTGATGGCATCGTGAATACACGCCAGAACATGGCACACTCGCTCCGCTGCTGCTCTTTTCACTATACGTTGATTTATTGTTGTCAGTGGCCTTCATTTGCGCGGGTCAGCCATATATGGATTGGGGCGTGGTTTATGAGGGTCCTAGGGAGGTAACGCTAGGAGTTCTTTTTTTTGATTGCGTATATTCTCTTCTTTTGTCATCGCAAAATGTGAAAGTTTTGTAAAAACATATTGAAAGAGAGGCTCCTAAGGAGGTAGCGCTAGGAGTTATTTTTTTTGATTGCGTATATTCTCTTTTTTTGTCATCGCAAAATGTGAAAGTTTTGTAAAAACATATCGAAAGATAACTACTTCCAATTTGAAAATAAAAAAGCAATGACTGGCTGTTTGACTGGTTTTTAGCAAAAAAAGTTTGAAGATTGAAAAAGAAGTTTAAAAAATTTTGAAAACTAAAAAGGCTCTATAGAAAAGGTCTTGAAAAAATAAATGAAGATACTGTGAAAAAGAGGTAAAATGAGAAATGAAAATTATTGTATTGCAACTGCAATAACTGCGGTGGCGAAATTTCCACGATGTAGTTCCGTATAATGTAGACAATTGGTATTGGTGTAATTGCACACAGCGCGCGGCATCTCACGACCAATCATGATAAATTGTAAGGGATCGGCCATACTAATCCTGCTATTCCTACGACTCCTGCGATTCCTGCGATTCCTGTGAGTCCCGCACAGTTTATACGCCGCTTAAATGAGCGCGTGTTGCGTAAAACAACACGTAACAGGCAACACGCGGCTCATTTAAGCGGCGTATAAACTGTGCGGGACTCACAGGAATCGCAGGAATCGCAGGAGTCGTAGGAATAGCAGGAATAGTATGGCCGATCCCTAACAAACACGTTTTCATTGAAGAGACTGTCATAAAACATTGGTTGCAGTTAATTCAGTTCTTCACAATTAACGACACGAAAAGAAAGTTTGAAAATTGGCAGTTCTAAGCATATAAGTCGTAAAATACCACATGTGTTGTGCAATACATATAATAAGTTGCAACTAAACTGGTAAACATTCGCAAGCGCGTTCTAAGCCGAAGACATTGCAGAAAGAAAGGTTAAAGGAGATTGCAAGCAGCAACGAAGGCGTCGCGCAAGTGTCTGCGAATAATGCGTTGTCTGCGTTACTAAATCAACCATAGCAGTCAGAATGTTGATGTTTGCGTCGCCAAACTAACACTTCCTCCTACTTTTTCTTTAGAAACAAATTTAGCTAGGAGCTTGAAGAATTCATGAATAAAGCGCTGATTTTGCAACATTGAAAAAACAAAATGCGAAAAACTCACATGCTGATTGCAGAAGTTTGACTAACAATGAGATGAGAAAACCAAAGCAGATGAGTAGCAACTCAGACAGTGAATAGGACTAATCACATGCTCGTCCGAGCAAAACACTCAAGAGGCCTCATGCGCACATCAACAATAGGCCTATCATATCTTTGAGTCACTTGTAATTCGATATGTAAGTGTGCACACTATGCGCGGTAAACGACGACACCTTTACTAATAACTTCTCAGTCAAACTTTTTTAGCGTAACAAACTGTAGAAATATGTCCCACTAATAAGACACATCAAGTCAATTTAAAGACAAGCATAACGAAAAACTACCGGAAATGAGCAGATTCTAAGCTTAAAAGTCGTCAAATACCGCATATGTTGTGCACATGCACAACAAGTTACAACTCACTGGTAAAAATACGACTGAATTACGATATTTTGAGAACTCACCTCTTATACAGCATCTTCTCGAGGCTAAGTCATGTATTGATGAAGTTCTCAAGAGCGGAGCCTGAAATCAGAGGTTCGTTAAGAGTCGCAGACAATTTCCGCAATTTTACGAGCAGATGCGATGTCCAATCCAATAGAAAGAATGTAGGTTGAGAGATGGAGAAGCATAGCGACAGAAAGTGCTAAAAGTTCCTTGGAAACAAGATTACTTGTAGGAGAAAATGAACAGTTGCAATTAGAAATGAAATGCTAAATAAATAAATATCACCCCTCCCCTCCCTCCACCAAGTTTTTCCACGTTTTTCCTGGCATTTCTCAAACGATGTAGCGATATATTACATTAATTTAACCGTAGAGGTGGTGAAAGTAATGACTTGTAATTTTTCTGGTATTCTTAAAAGTGTATATCATTTCAATATTTTATTGCGTTGATTAAGAAGTTATTATGGAAGGTTTCAACAATTGAAAACTTTTGCAATCGATATTGCATGTCTATCACGACTCAAAAGTGTATCAAAATTAGACTCACTTTTTTTTATCCTACTGGCTTTTTTCCTGACGAATAGGGATTGTGAAAAGAGAATTTTCACAAACTTCTAGAGGAGTTAAGATAATATATGAAAAATCAGTAATAGTAGAAAAGGGACCTAAATATTAGGGTTACCTTACATGAACATTTTCAGACAAATTCTGGACTTAAAATTAAGTGAACTCACAGAGATCGCATCGATAGGGGCGATATTATTATCTAGCTTTTATCAATAGATAATATTAAGATGAAAAAGAGGGGATAGAAGATAGTGGAGCCGATGAACTAAGGTTTTTGGTAAATCAATGCTCAAAGACAAATGGAAGGCTTCAAAAAAGGCTTTTTGGGCTTCGCAAACTTGTAAGATAATTATTTTACTGCAAAAAATTGTGGAATTTTCTTGGTAGTTTCACAGCAAGAGAGTGAGAGAGCTTGTTTTCGCTAGTGATAGAGGACCAAACCACTAAGCCAAACCGCTCTCGAGTAGTCCTAACTTTGCGCTTGTTACAATCAAGTGCAAATCAATTCAACATTTCCACTTAACTCACATCTCTCTTTGTGTCGACACCGAATGTTTGTTCAATTTCTTGCAATGGCAAGGCTTTCGAGTGCTGGAGTAAAAAAAAAGTGTGCCCAGGTTGACGTGCAGCTTTGTCTGCATTTCATGGATTGAGATAGATTTTTGGCTATTAAAATAGGTGTCAAAAATCTTAAAACTGTTTACGAGCTGCAAAAGAAGTGGTAAGTTTTGATCTCGCAATCAGTAGAAGAGAAGAAGAAGTAGATGACTGCTCAAAACCAGGAGTAGAACTGTGTTTCAACAGAGCTTGAATAGGTCATCAAAAACTATATGTTTTTGAGCTCATGTCATAGCGGTACCAGGGTTTCTGTTCGGAGGGATCGATTTTTCTTCAAACGAAAAAGGAGTGGAATCGCTAAAAATTATCAAAGAAAATTATTCTAATTGTATCCAGAATAAACAAATCACTTGCACATTTTTATACCCGCGATAAATTTTGAAAAATTTTGCAGCTCATTCTCGGGTAGGTGGACGGGGGCTCGGTCCGCCATTGGCTCATGTGTGTTCAAATTTCTTTTATAGTTGATTTCAATAACCTCCAAAATTTGTTACAAAAATGACCCAAGCAAGGAATAGTAAATTTTCAAATTATGCCAAACCAGTCTATTCTTGCATTGATGAAGAAGATTGGTTGATTGTAATAGACACCAGATTTGCGTCAATTGTCACCAAAATAAAGAGATACTAGTTAAGCTCAAAAAAAGCCTAAAAAGCCTATATTGGTCATGAAAGATATACGCCCTTTGCATCCTCAAATCTCATAGAAGAATGCTGAAAAACATTTCAAAGAATAGACAGTGTACCTTTTTTGTATCAATTTTAGACGCTTAAGAGAATTTTACATACAGGTAGAGCAGACTTTTTAATGCAACAATTCTGGAATTTCCTAGCCATCTAAGAAATTTTGAATTAGTGTATGGAAGACTCTATAGTTTCGGTTGAAATCGGGTAATGTGTGATAACAACGGACTTTTGTAAAGCAAAGAAATTGCAAGTTTCCGAAACATAATCAATACTGAAGGATATTACGAAGTAAATGAGCCTCAACGCTTGAAAGAGAAGAAGAGGAGAAGTGATAAAATGAGCTACGAGAAAAAGTTTATGGAGATCACAGTCACCGAGACTTCTATTAAGTTCAGTTCCAAATGATCGATACATTTCACAGTTCCAATTGGTGAATTGAGAGTCATAAATCTGCCATAAAGCGTTCCTGACGCGAAACATTCAGCTTAAATTCAAGTTTGCTGCTGTTTTTTCAGCCAAGCGCTGATCCGATAAACTCTTTGTGGCTGTTCACGTACTTTTGTACTGTAAGAGGTAGAAGTAAGTACGAAAAAAAGCTTTCCACAAATGGAAACACAGTTTTTTTGTGTTCCATGGCGAGGACAGAGAATTACGAAGCAGATAGATTGCAATTGGTGCGAAAAGAGAATTAGTGTTCATCTGATCAAAGCGATATACAGAAGCAGTGCAAGTTTAAATCGAACCCATCAGGATATGTGATTTAGACATCACTTTGATACAACCTTGGATTGCAGAGTATTGCTCAAAAGGGCCCTTAAGTGACAAATCGTCCCAGAAAGAATTAAAGTGCTGGTTTCGAATCTGTCCTTGTTAACCGCAGAGAGTTTTTGGGTGATGAGTTACGAGGTTCCTTCAGTCAGAAAATTGAACGCACATCAAGATAACAAATTATATGCCTTTTCCAGCAATGAAGACTCAACTCAATGTATATTCATGGCCATATTATGGATTATGGTGATGACTATCTTGTATTGAAGTGAAAATATTTATTTTGTCTCCCTGAGAATTGGAAGTTTTTTGCATTTGCACAGCTTATGTGATTTTATTCGAGCCACGCATTCAATTTTTCGCCTTTAAAAAACTCCTACAAATCTTCTCTCGAAGATTAGCAGATTTCAAAGATAAATGTAAAATCAGCGCTTTGTACAAACAGTGCGCATTATGACTAACTGAGCAGATTTATTTGAGGTACCTTTCTTGTGAGGAACTTTGGAGCGTTGTAAATATCAGTGCGTTCAGAAATTTCGTTTTCTTCATCCTTGTTTGACCATACCATAAAACAAAGTAGAGAAAGAAGTTTGATGCGGTATCAAGCAGCTTTTCTTGAATTTTTATCAGCTGCTTTCAGACTTGTTCTTCCGATGATCGGTCGATTATGAGAATTCTATCACAAATCTTACGTTGTCCAACTGCAGACATTCAAAATTGTTTTAATTTTTTGGCACATTTTTTTACTAAATTCAGCTGAATAACTTGTACAGAATAAAATGAATTTAGTTGCACCAAACACTAAAACCTTCGCTATTTGAAGTCCCAGAAACTGGTTTATAAGGAAACAAGAACAAATAAGCATTTTTTAAAAGGATTTGGGATCAAGTATAACTATGTGCTCTAGAAAATGGGAATAGTAAGTAAATGTGCAGAATCTGTATATTAAGACAACAAAGAATGAAGAACAGAAAGAGGTAAAAGCTCGCGGGCTTGATATGGTATCTGATCAAACAACAATTTAGTTTAAGGAAACTAGAAAGTAATTCTAGAAGCCAAGTAGTAATAACATTGCAACCGGTTTTGTTTAAGTATCTATAACCAAATCTTTTTTGAAAGAAGAAAATGAATTTTTAATAAACTGAATCTGGACAAAGAAATTGATATTTTAAGGAGAAAATTGCTTGAAACTTTGGCGATTATGTGACCGATCATGAGAAAACAGAAATCCAAATGCCAGAAACCTCGAAGATTTTGCAAGGAATATAGTGTAAAGCATTTGGTTTCGTCGTTATTTTATGTGATAGAGGACGAATAAACTTTTGTAACGACACAATATATCACCGCTTCTTCCTTTACACATGCTTCAAACATTTTTGGAAGAAACAGAACCGCCCTTTTTACATTTTACGACTTCAAAATTTACGGCTTCTCCTCTGTTTTCCGTCCTAACTTTTATGAAGGCGCATAGAGAGTAAGAGCAGATTTTCCTCTGATTACTGAAAATGAGAAGAAAAATCTGCCTTTTCGTAGAAGTACATAGAATATTGACAGTTGTAAATATAGACAGCTTTTCGAGTTAGTCTTGATCCTTGAAGTGGGCTGGCTTTTCGTTAACATAGCGCAGTAAACATAAAGTAGAGAGCAAACAAAATTTGAGCCGTGCTTGTCGGAAAGCATCACCTCAATAGAAATATAATGCATGTGCCATGTGTCGCATATGACACACAAATAATAGGACACAACGAAACAGAATAGTATGATGAACCAGGAATTCAGGTAAAAGTAGTTTCTTAGTTCATTTCGCCTCCTTGCACAGATTGAAGGAAATTTCTGGAATACTGCAAAAGCACAGTTTGTTGAACATTTGCTCGCAATAGCTAACCTTCACACTGGCGTACCTCCCACTCGATAACCTGCATAGCTATATGCCCGAGATCGCGTCGGGGCCATGCGTACCCCTGCCTCCCTCCCCCCCCCCCCCCAGTTCTACAAGCATTGCAGTTACAATGGGAATAGGAATGGCCTATTTCTTGTTCTAGGGTGCTCTTCTCAAAATGAAATAGGCAGAGAAAAATAAGAATTAGAAAATTTATTTCCTTTCATCGGTACCTAAAAATACCTGATTTTACCACAGACACATGCTTGTGAAGGTAAGGCTCAATTATAAAATCGTGACGACGGATTTGACTGCGGTCTTTGCGCCCACAGGAGCATATCACCCTCATACAAAAAGGCATCACCTCAACGCTCAGCTCAGTCATTTCCAGTGTCCAAGTACTATCATACCTAAGCAGAAAAAGCAGTCGAGTAGAGATTGAAACCAAGAAAACGCGGTTGCTGGAAGGCGCGTGCGTGTCGCGCGCGGTTGCGCCATCGTCACGATTTTTCGAATGCCCTACAAGTAGTGCAGTTCTGGGAAAAAATATATGAAATGTAGATAAA